ATGTCAGGATTTATGTAAATTCGCAATGGACCAACGGGAATGCAGGACTTTCAATGAAATCCACTTCCGCTGGAAATGGATTCAGAAATTTGTCTTTACCTATTGTACACTGATGTGTACACTAATCATTGTTTGTTAATCATTCTGTATACATTTGCTTCTTAGAACGACGGACTGCGTAATCTATGACCATTACTTCGAAATTAATTGGAATCCTCGCTTCGCGTCGAGTCGCGCCGACGTTAACATTGTACTCGATCGTTGCATCGCTCGGTTCGTATCTCGTATCGATCGAAAGCGAATTATTTTGTTTTTCCCGCTGGAAAATTATTGAAAGTGAAATCGCTCGCGCGAAGATAATCGTTAAAGAAATCGCGAGGCGAGGGGTTGACCTTTCGCGATTCTATATCGAGACCTGACGTTCGATTCCGTTCTGGTAACATCGTGTTCTACTAACTTGCATTATAAGTCTCGTATTTTCAAATACTCTTAAACGATCAAGGATTCAAATACTCTTAAACGATCAACAAATCGCGTAGTTTGGTAGCGCGTTAACCCGTCGCCTTCTAGCAACGCGTCAGACTCGCGGTGAAGATTTCATAGATAATTTAACAAGGATGACGACTAATTCCTACGAATTTCACTTAAACCACATTCTTCCGTTGTCAATGATTATACGTTGGATCGAATACAGACGCAGATGCCTAGAAGTTTTCTCGTTTCGATCAACCGTTAACACGTTGAATGCCGCACGGAATGAAAGAAATACAATATTAAATTATTGAAATGACTTGCGTTGTTATTATCGTTTGCTTCGGTGCGTGTCGCCACAGCAAGTAGCATTATTTACAATATAAGAATGTTTTCGAATAATCATGTAAACGAGGAAATTGCAGTTACTGAATTTAGTCTCTTTGTAGTTTGTTGTCTTTTGTGTACCAAAGGGTCGTAGCCCGTATACTAAATAAATAAACAAACCCCTATGTCATTCAACGTGTTAACTTTGAAGATTCTCTGAAATATACAAAACCCTCAGCAGATGAAGCTAAATTATACAATTACTCGAACAACAGAAAAATAGGAAACTACGCGCTAATCTCTTGCGATTCCATTAATTGAATCATTTACGACTTACACTTCCAAATATGAAAATTTCATCTCGTCGAAATGTCGACATTCCTCCGCAGAGAGTTAATTACGAAACACCCACGACGCTTCTAACCGCGAACTGTCAACGTTACAGGTGCAACAGGTACTCGCGTTTGAAAGTAGAGTAGAATACAGCTAATCCGCGGGTAACAGCGGAGAGATTGTAGAATAGTTAACACAGAAATAAGAGTGAAAACTAACAAAAGCAAAAATCCAATAACTTCACTCCATGCATATTCGTTTCGGCCGAGGCTCTCGAAGTTGCGAGAAAAATACGTCTAATCCACAAGTAACAGCGGAGAGATTGTAGAATAATTAACACAGAATTAAGAGTAAAGACTAACGAAAGTAAAAATCAAATAACAACATCATTGGTGTCGCTCCATGCATATTCGTTTCGGCCGAGGCTCTCGAAGTTGCGAGAAAAATACGTCTAATCCGCGAGTAACAGCGGAGAGATTGTAGAATAATTAACACAGAAATAAGAGTGAAGACTAACGATAGCGAAAATCAAATAACTTCGCTCCATGGATATTCGTTTCGGCCGAGGCTCTCGAAGTTGCGAGAAAACGGGAGCAAAGTCTACGGCGCGCCTCGCGGAGGCCCGCGATATCGCGCGCGCACACGTTCGTCCCATTATTTGTCGCTCGGCCGAGGTAACGCGCTGTCCGCCTCGTGAACACCCGCGCGATCCGGCAATAAACCAGGAAAGTAAATTATGGTAATGGCAGTGCACGGTGGCGTAAGAGAAACGAGACCTCGCCGCTCGCCCGGTGTGATCGCCGCGAGATAACCAGAGGACGTCTTCGGGATCCATCGACGGGGCGGCGAGGAGAAGCGGCGCGAACGGTCTTACATTGACGACCGACTGACGGATAACGAGCGTCACCAGCGGTTTCGAGAACGAGAGAACTCCTAATTAACCCTAATCGGACCACGATGTGACTTTCAGTCGCGTTTGAACTTTTTAGTGAGATTTATTCGTTGTTTCATGCTGTGTTTCTAGAAGTTTCTTTGGGCTTTTAACATTTGGGCCTTGTACACAACAGCAATGACATTTTAATAATTCCTTTTATTTTCATAAGTGATTCAGAGCCACTTTGAGTCACTTTTGACCTTGTTACTGAAATTTATTCATTGTTTCATATTGCATTTCTAGAAGTTTCTTTGGGCTTTTATCATTTGGTTCCTATAAACAACAGCAATAACATTCTAATCATTCCTTTTATTCTCACAAGTGACTGAGAGTCACATCATGGTATGATTCGTTAGGAAAACACGTGGTACGATTACGGTTATCGTTGAATGCCGTGGGGATCACCGGTGACCCCCAACCGAATCGGATTACTATAGTTCACTCGGTTCACCCTTTGCACTCGAGAGGTGACTCTCACCACCTGATTTCACACTGTGAAACTATAAAATTTGATATTTAATATCATACCTTATACAACGCATCAATTTGAGAAATATTGAAATACCATAGCTATCCAGTTAGTTCCACAAAATCGTCATTATCTCATCAGAAAACGTTCAAACATTTCCAGCTAAGAACTTCCGAGTGCAAAGGGTTAAACTATGATTATCTAAAAACATTTCTACATTACAACTAATGCTGTCTACCACAGTGACATTCATCTAGACGAACATTCGACAATAATACAATTCAATCAAACGATTTAATATGTTTTCGCTTTGTCAATTTCGCTATATGAAATCGTACGGAAAAAATCGTTCGCCATATGAAACGTTGAATTCAACCTGTTCCAACCGAACCCAAGAAGACTCTTACTTTAGAAACGCGAAGCGTCTTTGCCAAAGCGATTAGCTCTATCAGCAAACCGAAAGGAACAATCCAAAACGCCGTCCAACGCTACGCTCCGAAGCGATTCGTCCAGCGCTAATCGGTTTCGCAAATAGCCCTAGCAGACATCGATCACGCGGCCGTCAACTTTCTACTATCCAAACGAGCGAGCGCTAACGGGAAAGACCAACGGTCCCTCACTGTTTCTTCGACTCGCATTCGGACAAACAAATAATCCGTATACTCGGTAATCGAGATGACGCAGCAGCGGAAGCAGCGGCGAGGCGGGAAAAGTTCTCGCGCGAAAATTTCGCGCAAATCCGATAAGCCGGAGCACGCGTAGCGGATCGGCACGCCACACTCTCGGCTTTCGTTCGTCGACGGCTGAGCCGCGGCCGTGCCGCGTCCCCCGCGCCGCCGACGAGCGGCCGACACCTCTGATAACGGCGACGGTGGGCTCGGCGCACGTGTCAATCACCAACCCGTCACGCGACACGCCGATGCCGATCCTCTCGCGGGACAAGGTCGCCTCCCCACTCGGCTCCTGCGCGCCTCCCCTTTTCTCGAGCGTCGCAACGTTCAGAGAAATTTCGGCACACCGGGGAGATAAACGCTAATGATCGGTATCGGTCGACCTCCGCTCGACCGATACCGAGCGCCGCCGCGGGTTTATCTCGCCACCGGTCGACTAGACTTTAGTGGACGCTAGAAGCTAATTGAAAGATAACCGGCGATCGTCGAATCTACATCGAATTCCCATCGACCATCCTCGATCGCGATCTAGGAACAATCGAAGCGTTTCAGGCGCGATCCGCGATCTCCGCGGAGCACGTGACGCGATAACGGTGCACGTTTGAACAAAGTAATCGACCGTTGAATTTAAAGAGCGCCGCATTCTTTCGTTTCCGCTTCTCCCCCTCGCTGCTCGCTTTCCTTTCACGACGCCGGCTTCGTGCACGCCTCCGCTCGAAGACGCGGCAGCGACCCGCCGTCGATAAGTGGTATTTGTTAAATTAAGCCGGGAACGTTTACCATATTCGCGGAAATTGCCGGTTAAACCGGCCGGTGATTTACGACGCGTGCGATTATCAGTCGCGTTTCCGTTCGCGGTCGCGATGACGACTGACTGCCGGTTGCGGAAACGCCGCCCGAAATGATCAAAGTTTCATCCCGCCGATCGATGCCGCGTATGCGTTCGAGGCGGTTCCGCTCGGACACCGGTAATTCGAGGGATAAGCGGACACTCGGCCGGGAAGCCGAGCCGAGCGGACCGTTATTTTCGAAGCCGGTGGTTCCGACGGCGGACGGCGGCTCGTGAATCTTTGAACACGCGGGTCCGCGTGGGCGTGACGCTTCGCCGGCGTGATACAGACGTCACGGCGCGTTTCCCGCCGGGGCGAAGTGGAAATTCGCTCCTGGACTGGGGAAATCGCGAGGCGATGTCGCCCGCTTCGTGGATTCTCGCTTGCTCGACGGTCCTCCTGGGAAGAGGCACGCTGGCCTACGACGATACGCTCGCGCGACTCGTCGCCGACTCGGTCAACCTGCTTTTCCCGCCGAGCAGAGTCTCGGCGCATCTCTGCCGGCTGCAGCAAGGTGGGAAGGCTGACCGAACGGAATCGTGGGGTTGCGCAACGCCGCGCGTAGGCGGCCGCGATTAATAACCGAGCTGACGAGATGCACTCGAGGAATCGCGCGAGAGCTACCCTGCGCTGCGAAGCGTTTGGCGATCTCTGATGGAGATTGCGACCGTTTGAATGGAACTACTCGGTGGTTCGATCGGTCGAGTGTACTGTTTGAGATCTGCAACGTTCTCCGACACTTGACCGACTAGATTAGATTTAGAATGAATCTTATTACTGGGTTTAGCAGGAATAGAAACATTCTTTTGGAGAAATATTGAGTAGCAATGGAGATTACTTTTAGCTAATCCAAGTATAAGAGAATTCGAAGTTAACTGAGCCTTCTGTGTTCTTCCTCAAACGACGAGATTGAATATTTCAGAATTAAGAATACCTCTCACGTTAGGTATCGCAATCTCTTGCAGAGGATGCAGCGATCCTGTCCCGCGATTTATCCGGAAGCGGCCTGATGCACGAGATTCACCAATCGTCGAAGGGATTCGACGAGCGGCTGCGCGATCCCGAGGATCATCGAGTGCTCTGGGTGCTGGATCTGGAGTGCGACTACGCGATCCCGATGCTGAGGGCGGTACGTCGCGAGGACGAGTAGCGAGCGGGACGGTAACGTGGTTTTCCCGCAGGCGAACGGAAGCGGGATGTTCGGCGCGCCCAACAAATGGCTGCTGCTTCAAGACCGCCGGACGTTCGGCGGGACTCCGGCGTCGGACGGGGACCGGGACGGGATCGAGGAGACGTTCCGGGAGATGGCCGTTTTCCCGGACAGCGAGGTGTTCCTGGCGAGGCGGCTGCGCGGCGACTTCACGGAGATCCGGTCGATCTACAGGCGAGGTCCTCTGAGCGAGGTGGTGCTGGAGGATCGAGGGAACTGGACGGCGGACGGAGGCGTTCTTCCGAGGGATCTGCTCCCGACGTCGCGACGGAGGAGGGATCTGGCCGGGACGCATCTGAGATCCTGCCTCGTGGTATCTGGAAACCGTGCCGCGAAGATGAACGAGCGAATTCGATCGGGGACCGGTCGCCGCGCGATCGATCAGCGGTGACGGATCGGTCGCGCGGGGATCGTTCGAGGAACCGCGATCGAGATAAGATACATTTGATTCATCCGCGACGCGATAAACCCTTTTCTAAAGTTCCCGGCTAGCTTTCCGTAAGAACACCGAACCGATCGAATCCCGATCGTATCGTACCGTGCATCTGGTTAGCGCCGCGGCGCGGCGAATCAACGGTAAATTTAAGAGCGCGGCTCCGGCGCCGATAAATCAACCGTGTGCATTTGCGTTCGCAGATAACGAATCCCGATACGATCAACCACTTAACCGATTACGAAAATCAGCATATAGATGCCATAACGAAGGCCAATTATCCCTGGATGCTGATCATGGCGAGACGAATGAACGCGACGTGAGTCTCTTCCTCTTTCTGTCCCTCAGCCTCTGTCTCCCGATCGTTCATCAGGTCTAATGATAACGATAACGCAGCGGCTGTCGCGTGCAACGTGAAATAAAAATCTGCTAAACGCCTGATGATTAGCGGCGGTTGCTACCATAAAGAGAAACGCTGCATTGTAAAAATGAATTCAAAGGAATGAAGGAACGTGTTACCCGTGATACCTGGTCCCGTTCTCCAAAAGAAAGTATTTATATATGTAAACAGGTCTCCACCATAGCACGGTTGCTTCAGGTTAATTTCTACTCATGTGTGATGGCTCCTAAACTTAACCTATATCAAGTAAAATGTATATCTCAATCAAGTTCGCTCGAATTAGGTTACATTTTTAGTATAAAAAGAATTACCGTTGAGAAACGAAATTCTGCTGTACAGATTGCTCGACATTTGAGTCATTTACCTACAAGAATGACGCTTTGCATTGGTAGCCATAGTCCACTGATGGAGCTTACACAGAATCGTTAGCTGTACTTCCTTTAGATGTAATTCGCTGTATATCTCCAACAAGTTCGATCAAATTAGGTCAGATTTTTGGTATAAAATGAATTACCGTTGAGAAACGAAATTCTGCTGTACAGATTGTTCAATATTTTGGACATTTACCTACAAGAATGGCGCTTTGCATTACCCATAGTCCACTGATGAAGCTTACACAGAATCATTAGCTGTAATTCGCTGTATACTCGGTTTTTTCGCAAGAAACAAAATGTAACTCAATTTCCAACGTTTCCCTCTCACCAGCATCGGTTTCCAAATAACGGACTCTTGGGGATACAAAACTCAGAATGGCACCTGGACTGGAATGACGGGACTGCTGCACCGTCGCGAAGTGGACATAGGCGGGACCGGGATGTTCCTCATCGAGGAGAGGTTAGACGTGCTGGAGTACGTGCAGTTGTATTCAAAAACAGGGTAAGTTCGACCCACGACTTCGCCGATCTGTAGTCTCGATTATGAAACGTTTTACCGTAGAACAGCCTTCATATTCCGTCAACCGCTGTTGTCCATGATAAGCAACATATTCGCGTTGCCGTTCCAACGATCGGTATGGATCGCGACCGGCGTGTTTCTGCTGGCGGTTCTGGCGCTGCTGTACGTGTCGTCGAAATGGGAATACCGTCTGGGCACGTCCGCGTATTGGGAATCGTTGAATCCCGCGCAGCAGACGCTGAGCGACAATCTGATGGTCGTGCTTGGAGCTATGGCGCAACAAGGTAAGAGATCTCGCCGGAGAGGATTCGCGACAGAGAAGCTGAAGCCACTTTGCCGGCACGTTGAACAGGTTACTACTACGAGCCGTACAGAGTCCCTCCTCGCATCGTCACCCTGATGCTGCTGATCACCGCGCTGAGCCTGTACGCTTCTTACACGGCCAACATCGTCACCCTGCTGCAGTCCACGGCCGACACCATCAAGACCCCCGCCGATCTGCTGAACAGTCCTTTCAAGATCGGGGCGCAGGACATTGTCTACAACCGGCATTATTTTTCGGTGAGTGATCTCGTTGGAATTCCAGCAGACTCTAACGTTTGTACGGTTATGTTGCTGCGCAGCAATTCCAAGACCCGGTTAGGAAAGCCATCGTGGAGCAGAAAGTTGAGCCGAGGGGCTACAAAGGTAACTGGGTGACCCTGGAAGAGGGAATGCACCGCGTGAGGACCGAGCTGTTCGCGATTCACGCTGAGATAGGGCCTGCCTACAAGCAGATGCAGGACACCTTCTTGGAGGATGAGAAATGCGGCATCGAGCAGATGGACTTCTTGAACGTGATCAATCCGTTGATAGTGATTCAGAAGAGGTCGCCGTACAGGGAAATCGTGAGGAACGCGTAAGATCCGTTGTCGGACGTGAAGTCGTTGGTTCGACGCGGCTGAAGATCTGGATGATTTTCAGAGCTCATCGACTGCACGAGACTGGGCTGAAGTTTAGGGACGAGCATCGACTATTCGCACGCAGACCGCAGTGTCAGGGACAGACTAGCTTTGTCAGCATCGGGTTAACCGAGTGCTACTTCGCGTTGGTCTCCATGTGCTGCGGACCGATTTTCAGTCTAGTGGTACTGCTGTTAGAGACGCTTTGGTACAAATGGTATGGCTAACACATCACTTCCGTTATTTGTTTTACGACGCTGATGTTATTCCACAGGCGGAATCGGCCGATTAAGGAAGATAAACTCCCGGAGGACTTGACGTTCGATACCGTTGTCGAAGAAAGTCTGGATGTTGATCAAGGATTCGAGCAAATGCAGTGATCGAGTAGAAACTGTAATAAATAGAGGATCTTTCTAAGCACAAGGTATGCATAAAGGCAGAGGTTAAACGCGAGATGGCAGAAAGTGCTGATAGTAATTCTTGGTGAACTCCAGCATCAGGTCGAGTGTACAATGGGGCAGTTCTTCTATGCATCTCGCGGGGCTTCCGGCGACGCGAGTGAACGACGGTACTATAGTCTCTGGTGGTACCACTGCGCCGTCCTCGATGTAACAGCAGTCCTTTAGGATGCACCTCCTTCCCTGTATGGTGAACCCATGTTATTTCATCTTGTTAGACAGCATGAAATAAAACCATCATGTCTGTACATACTATCACGGCGTCTTTCCCAATGTATATGTATGAACCGACCATTGCAGCATTCACTACGGCACGTTCTCCAACAAACACATGGTCTCCCATCATCAAAGGAAAGAAGGCGACACTGGACAAAGTAAAGATACAACATGGTAGCATGATATTCGACAGTAAAAGAAGTTTGCCTGAAATGAAAGCATTGTTCAACGTTGCAGCACTGACCCTCTGCTAAACTTTTTGAATGGTGGTCTTATGATAGCATTCTTGCTGATGATGCAGTAACGTCCTGTTCGAACATTCGCCAGGTCGCCACGAATGATCGCATCCGACTGCACAATCACTTTCCCATGCAAAACGATGTTCTGCGATCCGCAGAGAACGGTCTGCCTGCTAACTTTATTCCCGGACGCCTAAAACACCATCACCAGGCAAAGTCAAGTTAGATTACACATTTTACCAGTTAACGTTCCATTACAATTCTCTTTCTTACCGTTTCGACATATTCCGCTTTGCTGTAATAAATATCTTGCGGCTCCATGGCGTCTCGGACTCTTAACGATTTATATCAAATTACAGTCCGACATGGAAAAACAGGTTAAGTTCGCGTCTCATCTGTCAGTGTATCGCCGCACCTAACCCCACTTTCCACTAGATTTAAATAGGACTTAACCTTTACTGCCATCTATCTTCATCCCGGCCGACCACGGTACCCGTAGACTTAAATTCAAATTCAGCAGACGTTTTATTAATTCCCAATCATTTCTTTTCTATTCAATAATTCATTTCCTTTACATTATATCACGTTACACACATTCATTCTTTCATCTTTCCATTTCTCCATTCACAAAGAAAATCACTTAATCAGTTCCAACGATAATTAACCCTATTAATTAACTCCTCAAACATCAGCGGTTCAATAAATCTTTCCCCTGTCGTTACCTGACTCAGCAGTCAATGCGGTTACCCTTTCCCAATGTCCCCTGATTTTCTCCAGTTTTAATAAAATAATTAATATTCTATCATTGCAGAGCCTGCCCTTGAAAGAAGACTTTCCTGGTCAAATGAGTAAAGCAAGCATTTTTAAACCACTCCAATCTGTTGATATTTTCTGTACATTTTAATAGGATAAATAATATTCTGTTCAGCCATTCAAAGACTTATACGTCTCTTCGTTTTTTCCAGGTCAGCCTCTCCTTGCTAGCTTCTGAATATTTTGTGCAATCACTTCAGAAGCCGAAACATGAATTTTCTAGTAGTTTTGCCAATGTTCCGCCAGCACCAGTCTAAAGGCACACATCAGTGTCAGTGCCTTCAGCCTGCAATGCTGGCGAAGCGTTGGGATAAAATTAATAAAATTCCTAGTGGGCTCTCCGAAAGCCAGAAATTAATAAAATTTTCTAAACTGCCTGGAACCGCGTGGCTTCCCAATGACTCGCACCGTTCGTCCTCGACGCAATCGAACGCCGAATGAATGGCGACCCGCACTGTTTTCGCGTCGCGCGCCATGGCAACGGGTAGGAAAGGTCTCCTATAAGGTAGGCTATGCGGCGAGGTCGACGTCGACGCCGGTTTCGCGAACGCGGGACCACCTGGCCGGCACATGTCGCTGTTCAAAGCGAAAGAATGGTGGCGAACCGCGTGCGGCGCGGAGGAAACCTTCGACGGACGGAGCCTGCTGGTGGCACCGTTGTTCGGCGAGGAGAAGAAGGACGTGCTGATCGTCGGCAGCCACCACGGCTACCTGAGGATCTACTGTCCCTCCTCGGAGTGGGCAGAGGAGACCAAGACACCGACCAATTACAAATCCACGGACACGATGATAGAGACTAGGATAGGGGACTGCATCGTGGACATCAAAGTCGGGAAGTTCGTCTCGTGAGTAGCAGGGGGTGGTTTTCTTGTGTCTTCATTCGTGCGAGGCATCAGTGGGAACATTAACACTTAACGGACGGGTTGAATCTACTCTGTCTTTCCTAGTTTCCGGGTATATTTAGGGAAATTAGATAAACATGCATGTAAAACGTAAATCTATGTGGCATGTACTAGGAAGTCACAATTAAAAAACGTAAATTTCCGTGGCTCGTCCGTTAAGTGTTGACACGTTGACTGTCAAATAAACACTGGTTAAAACCTCCATGTAATGAAGACAGTTTTCATAATGAAACAAACTAAAAGGTTCTTTATAACATTCTTTATAATGATGTAAAAAAATGTAAAACAAAGCATTCTTTGTTCAGTGAAATAATTATACTATCTCCATAAAATATTCTCTTTCTACTAGAATGTTATTGTTTCAGGGGCACGCAGGATCTCCGACTGGCGATACTGACGTCCACGCATCTGGTGGTGTACGACGCGACGTTGGCGGACGGATCCACGGAATACGGTTCGGTCGCTTGAATCGCACTCGTCCAATCGTTCAGAGGTTGTAAAACGTTCTAAACGCGATTGCGCCCGACAGGAGACCGATGCGACCTGAGGATCGCGTACGAGCACTCGCTGCCGCGGTTTCCGGTCTCGCTGATCACCGGCCCGTTCGGCGGCACGCGCGGCAGGGACTTCCTCTGCGTGCAGTGCCTCGACGGATCGCTACTCTTCTACGAGCAGGAGGTGTTCGCCTTCCGGCGGGTGCTTAAAAATCGACTGCTACCGGAGCCGATCGTCTACGTCGCGAGGAACGACCTGTTCGTCACGACCAGCACCTCTTGGTTCCTGGAATGCTACAGGCACGTCCCACTAGAGTAGCTTTCTGGGACATTGTTTAGAATTGTCTCATTGCGGATAATTGTGTGTTTATCCTCTATTAACCCTTAAGTAGATTATATTATTATGTTATTTTCAATATTATCAATAAGGAGAATAGTTCACACTGCTCTCTACAAACTATCTATTTCTTCAAACGCATTTCAAAGAAAATATGATAATACAGAGTTGTCGAGAGAGAAAATGCAACAGAAATTCGGGATGCAAAGGGTAAACCCTTAAGTACATTATATTATTATGTTATTTTCAATATTATCAATAAGAAGAATCACACTGCTCTCTACAAACTATCTATTTCTTCAAATGCATTGCAAAGAAAGTATGATAATACAGAGTTATCGAGGAAAGAAATGCAACAGAAATTCAGGGTGCAAGTTAAACTGGAGTTGTTGCCTAAAAGCTTGCGTATTCCGTAGGTATCAGAGTATGGCTGAAACGGAACGAAGCAGTGCGCGACGCAGCAACGATGAAGCCCACGACGACGATGATGATGACAACGAGAATCGACATTCACGCGTGCATCGTCGCGTGGACGCCGACAAACTGGAGCCGGATTGGACGTACAACATCGGGGAAGCGATCCTGGACATCCAGGCGGTCACGTTGACCAGCTTCGAGACGGGGATAATGGTCCTTGGCGAGCGACACCTCTTCTGCTTGAAGGACAACTACTCGACAGTGAAATACGCGAAGAGGCTCGAGTACAAACCGCTCTGCTTTCGGGCGTACATTATCGGTGAATCTTGAAGATCTTACCCACATTAAAAAAAAGAAAGGTTTAACTTGACCGTTCGAGTGCCATGGGTTTCTGCGAGTACCAGGTCAAAAAGTGCCAAGCAACGCGAATGCGTTTCAATTTTCGTTTCAGTTCAGAAACTGAATTATGCTTTTCAACTTTTGTATAAGAAAAGTCTGGATAGTGCGAACGTTTCGTTTCTCTGTTTACAAGCTGGTAATAGGAGAAATGGGAATAAGTAGAAGGGAAATGGATAAATCAATTTTATTTGATTCTATGAATTGATAGAGTGGCACTTTTGGGCAGTGTAAAGTACACGTTGAAACATCCGGTGATGCAGGCATCGCAAGGGACGAGTTTGAGCCTTTCTCACTTTTTGTTTGAATGTAACATGTATCATGAATGTTTGGAAGACTCAAAGCCATCACTTAAAGCGATAGGTTTGAGCCTTTCTCAATTCTTGCTTGAGTGCAACATGTATCATGAAACTCTGGAAGACTCAAAGCCATTGCTTGCATCGCCGCAGGTTTCAATTGTATAGAGCTCTTTAAACTGCTAAAAAATGTCAGGTTTCAACTATATGAGGGCCCTAAAAGAGAAACGCGACGCGCCGCTTGTCACTCTTAGATCATTAGCGTTAATGCCCGACATTTCAGCAAAGTTGAAAACACCAGACGGGACATTGTACGGTCGGTGAGGGATTTATGACAGGGACTCGGGCAGGACGTTGTCCTGAAAGCCGGTAGACAAGGCTAACGACTGTCGTCAGGTTGCTGACGACCGTATCGAATCATCTGATTGTCCGACGGACGTTTGCTAGGGGATGAAAGCTGGAAATGACGAAGGTCCAATCGAGTTGCCTTGAATCACGGTCGTTATCTCTGAATGACCTAGCTGCGGCACAAGCAGAACCGAAGCACTGTTTGATGAACGGTCTAGGTCGAGTCCAACATAATTCACTTCAAACCCATAGATTAACGCTGGAACTACCGAGCAGTTAAATTGTTTTTGAAATTGTTCTGTAGAAACCTCAGCAGTGTGACTATTGAGAGTGCAATTGGTTTGCAATTGAATTTATGCATTGCTGAATCAATTTCTGAGAAGTTCTTCAGGGAAGCATCTGTTATCTGTTCAATAACGGGGAGAAATGTAATCAGGAATGGATCATTTTGATCATCCAGTAGTTCCAGCGTTAAAAGGGAAGATGTAGAGTCTTGGAAATAACATTTCTTAGACCTTTCATTCCCTTCTTAGTAGAAACTTTGTATATTTGGAAGATCTAATAATCTTAAGGTAGTTTTCTTAAAATTTATTAAGATATTTAATATTAGAACTGTTACACACAGTTACACTCCACATAGTTTTATAATCTATCAGCAACTCCTACCAATTTTGATATTAGTCCTGAAGATGAACAATGTGATAACATTTCTTAGACCTTTAATTCCCTTAGTACAAACTTTGTATATCTGCAAGATCTAATAATCTCAAGGTAGTTTTCTTAAAATTCATTAAAATATTTAATATTATTCCTGTTGCAATATTAGAGCCTACAGAGTTCAAACGGTAAAACCATGCTGATCTCTCGATATTTCTAGAGCCGGACGGGAGGCTAATGGTGATCGTGGTGGCGGACACTAGCACGCTGATGATTTACGAGGGCACGAGGCTGAAGTGGTCGGCGCAGCTGCCATTCGCTCCGGTAACCGTGGTCAGGGCGCAGCTGCAGGTAAACTGGTTTCCACCGGGAAACGTTGCGAGACTGTCATTGCTACATTATCCTGTCTCCCGAGAGACGGAGGCCGATTATTAATCGGTTATTAATAACGAGCAGCGACAGCAACTCCGTTCTAACGATATTCGACGCTTTACAGCACCTGCAGGGAGCGATCATCGCGTTGTCCGACGACGGCAGGCTGGAAGCTTGCTACCTCGGCGCGGAGCCGGGCTTGTTCGTCGCGCCACCCCTTCACTCGAGAGGCTACGATTACGCTGCTGCGGAACAGCAGCTCGCGGAGCTGCGGGCGACACTGAAAAAGAACAGGTCCTCGGGTGAGTCTGCGCTCTGCGAGCAGAGGGCCGGACAGGGAAATCTCGAACGAACCACTTTCCATGTTGTACGCGTCTAGAAATGGGATAATAT